TTAAGGACAGTGATTTGACAAAGCATCTGGAAAAGGAAAAGCAAAGAGAGGCAATGGATAATGAAATGCAGCAAGCAGAGGAACTGCGGTTGCAATCTCTTGAAACTATAGGAGAAACCTCCAGAAGGAAAGGTAGCGATAGAGAAGAGACAGCACCAAAACGAAGGAGGTCTGACGACACCATAAATTATTTGAGAGAGAAGAGTGAGAAAGAAATGCATGTGCGACAACAAGAGTTGAAACTTAAGAAAGCTGAACTGGAGGAGAAGAAGACAGAATCAGAGAGACTATATCAGATGATTATGCAACAAAATGAACAAAATCAAGCTTTGTTGCAGCAACAACAACAAGTTAACCTTGCTTTGATACAATTTTTAACAAAACAGAATGAACAAAAGTAGAATTTGCATGCCATCTTATGTTTGTTTATGTTTTTTGTTGTTGCAAAGCTTTTAAAAGAAACTTTGTGAACTGTTGACATTAATACATATTTGCTTTCATAGTTATCTATTTCAAAATCAAACTCTTTACTCAACATGTCACAAAAGCACAATAATTTTGTGAACCTCAAGAAGTATTTTGAACTGTTTTAGACTTACTTAAATTTATAATATATATAAATTGGCTTTAGACTGGCTGCAAATTAAGAGTAGACACAAACGGCTTTTGTGTGGGAGAATGGGTTATGGGGGTGAAGTACTCCTGTTACAATCAGTGCTATACTATAAGTATATTTAATCCAACAGACTCTTCATGGCCTTACATTTTATCCCGCAGGGTATATATGGCCGCTCTGAAAACACTAGGGGCAAGGATCCCTAGGGCTGCCCTGGGGGTAAAGGTCCCAAGAGCAAATGCCAGAAGGGTAGTGACCCCTTCTGACCTTACTGACCTGAACCAAGGGGTAAGGGTCCCTTGGACAGTTCCTATAACTTGACTGATTATATTTACATTGAATAAGGCTTTGAAACATGTAACCTCTCTCATATGTGTTTGGCCAATTCTATTTGTGGACATGACAATCAGAGACAGAGGCCAATAATTGAAATAATAATGCCTTTAATTAATTAATTAATTAATTAATTAATTAATTAATTAAAAGTAATTTAATTTCAACCTATAAAAGTCATAAAAACATTAATATTTCATGAAGTACAGACAAAGATTCAGACCATTCACTCTGTAAACGACACAATGTATTGTCTGAGATAACAGTTTAAATACATGCAGTAATATGTTACTTTTATAAAGTGGGGGGCCAATTTTGTTTGGGTGGGAGACCAACAAGGGGGGCTGGAAGGGGGGGGGCTGGGAATGGCCACCCAGTATATGTTAAAAAAATGCTTTGATGCAACATATTCAAATCAATTGTCATATAAATTAGACTAAATTTGCAATATCATATAAATTAGGACAGAGCATTTATAACAGAGTTATAAATTACATATATATAGTTCTGTCATAAAAAGAGAATTACAACACTTCAGCTGAAGTATTCTTGAATTAATGGTGGAGGACACTCAAAATAGTTAGATGTGGTTGAGCCATAGAAACAAGACCTTGAATTCTGTAATAGAACACACACAATGTACATTTTCCCCACAGCACTTAATTGAATCTTCAGATTTTTGTGAAAGTCCAAAAACTTAAAATAGTTCAGAATATCACCAAACACCCATTCAACAGAACAACGAACAGCACTCATAGCCTTGTTCCAGTTCTTTTGTTGTTCGTTCACTTGTGCTCCTCTGAATGGAGCCTGGAGTTGCAGACGTAAGGGGTATGCGGGATCACCGTAAATACAAAGAATAGAACCATCAGGTGCCCTTGAATGTTGTTGAAGCGATTCTAATAATCGTGATCTTGCAAGCATGGTACTATCATGGCGTTTTCCTTCTACAGGGCCATAAAGATTAGCACACATTCCATTAGGTGCTACGACAGATTGGAATTTTATGGCATGTACCTTTTTATGGCCATTGTATAATACTCTTTGGTGTTGACCTGGTCGGCAAACTCTCCTTACAGTACCATCTATGAATCCCCAGCAATTTGGTAAAGGTGCACCATGATCATGAATTGTGTGGGCATATTGTTGTAAGTTTGCAGGTGAAAGCCATTCTTGTTCAAATGTTTGAAGTAAACGACCCCAACGATCATAAACAAAGTTCATAGCAAGGTTGCTTATCATTGAAAGTTGTGGGACAGATAGGGCAAATCTAGGCATAATATCCAAATACCTGCATGGATATGCAAACATCTACAAAGAACACAAAGTGCAGTCAGACCCAAAACATTAAAACCATTGACACATTTCATTTCCTCTGGGATTTGCAGAACTTCGTAAAGCATGTATATGTCATTTTTTAAGAAACGAAACTCAGCTTTATACTCATCATTGCAAAGGTTATCCAGGTCAAATTGTTCGTAGTCCCAGTATGGCAAATCAAGATTTGTTGATCTGTTAACATCATAGAGCATTAAGAACTCTTCATCGTCAATCCCTGACGAAAAAAGTCTATTGGTAGCCTATAGGTTCCTATAGGAAATGTTCCAATTCCCTATAGAAGCCTTTACGCATCTATAGAGATCTATAGGCTTATAGGCACCCCTATATGAAAATGTTCCAATTGTCTATAAAAACCTATAGGTTTCCTATAGAAACCTAAAGGTTAGCCTATAGGCCAGGCCTATAGACTTTTTTGTTAGGGTTATATAAAACCTTCATCATGAGCATTTAGCAAAGCTATTCTATTTTCTTTAAAACTCGGCATTTTTGTTAAAGTATGAAACCAGTGAGTACTGGTTTCAGCATTTGACGGAATGAATAATACACAAAACCGCGATGGCAACGTCATGAGCAAAGTTGCCGTCGCTATTATGTTTTCAGAAACTCTCTAGTATAGAGCTAAATACTCTGTATATCAATGTACTTATTTATTCTTCATTGAAGATGTTCAGTTCAACAAAATTGGAAAATCGACCACACAGTACTTTACACGAACAGCGGTTATTTTATAATGGCTTACAAATGGTGAAACAAATGTTCTGCAGAATACAACACTCAACAGCAATTTTCTGAGGATTCTGCCTTTTCTTGTTGATATGTAGAACTAAACCCAAGACTGTGTCATTGTGTGAGCTTTGAGAAGAACATCTATCGTGAGAGGGTTTTGCCAATTCAGACTTGTTGCTTATGTGGAAAAAGGTAACATGCAAACCAGCGTAAGGCATTCGGTGAAACACCAAAGTTTTGCAATTTCTTCAACAATAACGAATGGCTTATACTGTCGAATGCTTTGGTGAAATAAAGTAGGACCATTGCAGTTATTTGTTTTCTTGTCCATGGCGGCCAAGATGTAATCGGTTACTGCAAGGCCTAATGTTTTGGTTGAATATTGTTTTCTATTTCCACTTTGGTTAGTTGGGAATCTTTCATTTTGGATAAGATAATTTGTAAATTGATTATGGACTACTCGCTCGCAAACTTTAGATAAGACAGGCAACAAGGATTATTCTCGGCTTCTTCATAATCATCATTCTTTGGAATAGGAGTAATCCCAGATATTTTCCATGGACTGGGAAATATTCCTTTGCGAAAGCTTGAATTTATTATTGACGTGATCGGTTGAACAACAGAAGATAAACAATCCTTGAGAACTCTTAAATGGACTGTATCGTTTCCAGGAGCTTTATTGGAGGGCATCATGGTGATAATTTCACTCACTTCTGTTGTCACTTGTCTGAGTTGCATGCATGTCCACTACAAACATTTTTAAACATACCTATTTTATCACTTGTTCTTTTCCCATAATGCAATAAAGCATTGCTTAAGACATCTATTCTATGGCTCGGTCTCAACTCTTTTGTCATTTTCCAAAATCCTCTAATGTAGGTCCAGAGCTGCTCTAACGTTAATCTCACCATCAGTAAGTCCAAAATCTTTTTTTCGTTGTCGGCTTAACAAGATCTATTTAATTACAATGTATAAATGTATATGAGCTACTACAGTAATTCATATTAATCAACGAATATAAATTTGGCTGGTTCATGATGAGATATTGTATGATGGCTGCACGATGAAATTAAACGAGAAATGAGAAAACAAATCACTTCTAAACGGAATATTATAGTAACAAACTTGGCATTTTCCATTATGACCATAACAGTGGAATATAGGAATAGCAAACTTGAACACATTGAGAAGTGAATTTTCACCTTCAATCGCGGACATAACTTGTTAATAAAATTTTAATTTGCCTCTGTGAGAGTTTAAATTGTAGTTTAATTCCTGTAGGTTGTCTAAAACACCCCTTCCCCCAACACAATGTTGTTGAACTACGTTTAAAATGAGAGGAAAATCTTGGCAACATTGAGTGGGGGAGTGGGGGGAGACCTAATGAAGTTTTTGATTGTATTTTCCTAAAATGTCGATCGATTTTATCAACACTTTTGTCCACGATTGTCTCCAATAAATTTCAGTTTCCCCCCTTAAAATGCAATCAGCTGCCGAGGGTTTTACGGTTCACATTGTATATTCCTTTCAGCC